TGGCGGCGGCCAGGCGCTGCCGTGGAGCGGGAGGAGCGCTGGCGTCGCGGTGGTGCGCGAGGCCGCCCCGGCCTCCCTGCGTGCCCCGCGGTCCTGGCCAAGAATGCCCGGGGCTCATGTGCCGCCTCTGCATCCTCTAGATGAGGACGGAGACCTGGTTGCCTTTTCCAGTGACGAGGAGCTGACCATGGCCCTGGCCTACGCGAAGGACGGCCTCTTCCGGATCTACGTCAAAGGTGAGGGCTGCCCTGGGCACTGTCTGGAGCCAGGCACTCCCCGCTGGGAACGGCGACTCCTCCAGTGCGGACCGAGGACGCAGACAGGGACTTCACGATGCCGCCACCTCTTGGGGCAGGCTGTGGTGGGCACAAGGCCGCGCTGTGCCCCTTGGCACCCCTTGGAGGGGGGCCGGGCCGGGCGCACCGGGCTGCATCTCAGCTGCTCTCTGCTAACCCCTTGGCGCCGGGGGTGGGTCTGGGCCGGGGCGGGGGCGGGCAGCTTGGGCGCCCCACAGCCTCTCCCCCTGCAGAGAAGAAGGAGTGCCGGCGCGACCACCGCCCCCCGAGTGTGCCGGAGGGGGCCCGCAACACGGTGCACCCCAACGTGATCTGCGATGGCTGCAACGGGCCGGTGGTGGGCACCCGCTACAAGTGCAGCGTCTGTCCAGACTACGACCTGTGTGGCGCCTGCGAGGGCAAGGGCCTGCACTCTGGCCACGCCAAGCTGGCCTTCCCCAGCCCAGCCGGGCACCTCTCCGAGGTAAGCAGGCCTGGGCTGGGCGCGGGCCTGTGGGCGCCTGCCCCTCCGGCCTGCCGGCCTGCCTGACCCCCGCCCCTCTTCCCCAGGCCTTTGCGCACAGCCGCTGGCTCCGGAAGCTGAAGCACGGGCACTTCGGGTGGCCGGGCTGGGAGATGGGTCCCCCTGGGAACTGGAGCCCGCGGCCTCCTCGGGCCAGCGACGCCCGCCCCGGCACTGCGGCAGAGCCAGGTGAGGCTTGAGGGTGCACCGGGCTGAGCTCGAGTGGCCACGGCCCTGCTCCCTGCGCCTGGGCCTGCTGTGTCCCCGGGCTGGCGCTCAAAGCCTTCATCCGGAGCAGGAAGAGCCGTGCTGTTCCACAGACAGGGACGCTGAGGTCCCTGAGTGCCCAGGGCACCCCTGCCCGCACCCTTCCCCCTGCCCGGCTGCGCTTCCACGGTGCCCGGGCTGTGGGCGGGCCCCTCCACCCCGGCTGCCCCTTCCCCTCCTGTGGGGGTCGTCAGGAAAGGCATGCCAGGTGCTCAGGTGTTCTGAGACGTGGTCGCAAGGGAGACATGTCCCACAGCTTTGGATTCCGGTTCTGTTCTGACTTCCTAATCTTGCTGTGTCCTGTGAGTCACTCACCTTTTGGGACAGGTGGCATGTTTGCTTGGCTTCGAGTAAATAACGCATCTAGGAGGGCAATATTTGTCTCCCATGTGCTGGGCCTGAGCCCTTCCTTGGCAGGTTACCGTGCACCAGGGTCACAGATGGCGGGGGTGGGGGAGGCCGGGGCGGTGCTGGAGGGGGAGAGCACTACAGGGGGGCCGCAGGGTGGAAGGGAGGAGAGAAGGCCCCAGCGGGCTGCTGGGACGCGGCATTGTGGACGGAGGTCACTTGTTTCTTTGTGAGTTGCGTCTCACTGTGGCGCCCAGGCTGGTGGCATACTCACGGCCACCGCAGCCTCCACCTGCTGGGCTCAGGCGATCCTTGCGCCTCAGCCCTTGAGTAGCTGGAACCACAGGCACGTGCCGCCACGTCCAGCTCTTTTTTTTAGGATTTATCGCAGAAGTGAGGTCTCATCGGGTTGCACAGGCCGGTCTCGAACCCCTGGGCTCAGGCAATCCTCTCGCGCCTCGGCCTCCCAAAGTGCTGGGATGACAAGTTTGAGCCGCTGCACCCCAGCCTGGGCCTGGAGGTCCCTTGGCCTGGCGGTTGCCTAGGCAGGGAGGTGACGGGGCTGTGACGCACACCGAGGGTGTTGAACTGAAGACGTCTGTTTCTGTTTGCAAAAACCCCAGCTTCTGGCCCGACAGAGGACCCCAGTGTGAACTTCCTGAAGAACGTGGGGGAGACCGTGGCGGCCGCCCTCAGCCCCCTGGGTGAGTGAGCACCAGCCCGCACGGGAGCCCTGGGCCTCCTGGGAGTCAGCGGAGGGACGGGCCGCACGCCCGTGGCCCTGCGAGGACTGATCCGCTGCCTCAAGGCGCCGCGAGAAGTGTGGGGCCGCAGGCAACTCGGGTGAAGCCCTGACCTGGGGAGGGAAGGGGAGCCAGCGACCTCAGGGCTGGGGCAGTCTCGGAGGGAGGCCACAGCTCCGTCTTGGGGACCACAGCCTGCACGTTCCCACGCCGAGCCTAGGGGTCCGGACGTGAGGACTTGGAGGAGTCGCTGAGAAGCTCTGGGTCTTCCCTCTTGCACCCCGAGTCCTGACCGGCGCTGCCGAGTGTCGGCACTGCCGTGAGCTGAGGGCAGGGAGCAGAGGCAGGCGCCCTGTGGGGTGCCAGGGTTCCGGGCCTGGGTTGCAGAGGTCTGCTGGGGCCTCTCTAGAGCGTGTGGGCTTGGAGACACCTCTGGGCTTCAGAAAGCGCCGCCGTCTCCGTCCCAGGGTCTGGAGGAGGCCACGGGGCGAGGCTGTGCAGTGGAGGCCGCTTCTCAAGGGGAGGGCTGAGCCCGTGGCGGGGGGAGAGCCCGC